TTTTTGTTTTGTCGAAGAACACAAAACTCCAACAACAAAAAAACCACAAAAATTTTGTTTTTAGTTTGGTAAGTGTTGGGATAGAAAAATTTAATATTATTGTTTGAATTGGTATTCAAATCCTATGCTTTATATTTCTGTTTTAGCCATAAGATCAACGTAAATAGAGGATCTTCTTTCAAGAAACATGTCCTTGAAGGTTGTTAAAAAAATAAAAAAAATATGCATATATAGCATAGAAAAGTACAAACTTTTTATTTGTGCTTTAAAAAAGTAATATTAATCAACTTTATAATAAACCTAAAGGGTTAATCTTTCTAAATATCTATTACTTCCTCCCTACTTAACTTCTGCAACATAAAAACTAATCTACAATAATAAAATAAAAACTTTCAAGCACCTAATTTAAATTGATTTCATTGGCCAATCAGATCTAGTCCAGTGAAAAAAAAGGCATTGACTTGCATACCAAAGGTCTCATGTTCGAATCCCCACAACATCATAGTTGTGTGTGTGTGAATCCTCATCTCATTTAGTTTAGAATGAATCCCCATCTCATGTAGTTTAGACTATTACTTGTACTAAAAAAAAAAATTGATCCCATTGAGTGGTTGAATTAATTATGAGATAATTATGAAGGAAGTTATTAAGGTGACAGGACCCGCCCCGAAATTTCCCCTTAAACCGGGGCGGATCCCGTTTTGTTGCCGACATCACACCGATGTCAGGCCCACTTACTAAAAACCCAAGACATCCTACCAAAATTTTGGCAGAGTCTCCCCTGTAAAATGCTCAAGCCCAACAACATTCAACCTGCATAATTTACATAATATAAATCCCAACTGCCAGCATGCTTTCAACATACAACAATTCAAAGTAAAGTGGCCTCCGGCCTCAAGTAACAGCCTAACATGGGCGATAACAGAGCATCTAGCAGAATTTGATTACAACAACAGTAGAGTAGAAGGAATTTACACGAATCCTATCTACGGATGAAATGTTTGGAGCTCGCAAACTGCTCGAACGCTTCCAAAAGCCACTACTGTCTGGGGGGCGCAAAACAGAAATATGTGAGTGGACAAAAATAAAGTTTGCATTTAAAACAACATAGTAACCCCACCATGTAAAAATAATGCTCAAGCATGCAGTTTCCACATCCATAAATCAAATACTCAAACATAAAATCTCAAAGTCCAATAACTCTCAAAAATCTCAAACCACAACTCCATTCCCACAAGTATGCAACTCTCACCAACCCATACATATGTATACCTATATAAGTATATATATATATATATATATCTATAATATAACGTATACTTCTCTCCATACTAATGTACCGGGGAAGACAATCCAACCGGGGGATTGTTGGCTGGTACGCAGGATTTTCGAACCAGAACCCGCGTCCAGGGATGAGTAGTCCAACCGGGGGACGGAACTCCATAGCTCACACGCCGGCACTGCCAACGCCACGTGTAGCTCACAAATCTCATATCAAGTCCTACGCGCGCAGACAGTATCATCCCCACACCGGCACTGCCAACGCCATGTGTGATGATACTAAGCAATATACATACTCTTCCCATACACCGGCACTGCCAACGCCATGTATGGGACCAGCAATCTCATGACCTTCCCACCACACCGGCACTGCCAACGCCATGTGTGGGAAGCCTAGTAACCAGGGAATGGTACTCACCTAACATACTCATACATCTCACAACCATCCCTCAAACTCATTTCTTTCCACAATCTCATAACAACAACTCCTCATACTCCATACATAGCACAATCTCACAACATCAACTCCTCATACTCTATACATAGGCAATATAGATAGACATCCCAAAATCCATATAAACATATCCATAATACTCAAACATAGCCATACTCAAAATATATTGCCAATACGTATATGAATATCCAAATCCATCAACCAAATACTTAATAAATCACATTTCCATTTAAAAAACATATGCACAAATCTTTTATCAATAAAACCATGCAAATGCTTGAAAACAAAGTCCACTCACAGGTAATCCCACGCTGCCCGGCCCCGAGAGGGTCCTGCCTGCTGCGAACGATCGACCGAAGTACCTATTTCGAGATACGAACTCTTGATTAATATAATACACTTCGAAACGGGAATTCACAAAAGAGAATACTTAAATCCCCAAGATCCCGGTGCGTGTACGTCCAATAGGATATCCTAAGGTCCGGTTACAGGTTTGGGAATCGCTTCCCATCCTACGGTTATCGTTAATCCCACAAACTTCGAATTATTGAATCGGAACATCCGGGGCTCCGATTCACGATCCACGAATTCCTATAGGTTTCTAAGAGTACCTAAATCAACATACTTCAGTTTGGAAACGATCCAACGGTTAGAACTTATCGAACCCGAATAACGCACAATATGCGAAATCCGTTCGATAGTCAAACGACATCCAAATTGAGATCCGTAAAATCCTACGCACTCGTGACAACCTAATGATCTCATCAGGATAAAAAGCAACTTCAACAGCCTTGCCCACGCGCCGCCACACGCGCCGGCAGCGCGTGGGTGTGTAGAGAAATTTCCGGCGACGGAAAATCTCCACACCAACGCTCACCCTTCCTACCCTAGCTTCTTCTCAAGGTCAGGATCACTTTATTCAACTACCACGAGGTCCAATTCGCACGGGAACTGGCCGGAATTTCAAATTGAAAACCGGCCAAAACCTAGGTTTCCAATTCGGTTCCAAAACTCAAAATCGATCCAAACCTACCCCACAATCAGCTAGAGCACGTAAAAAGGAGAAGAAACCTCACCTAGTTCACCGGAATTGGACGGCGGAGACGACGGCGCAACGCCGTGAAGAATCCGGTTTGAACCAGTCGGAACTGACGTCGGGATTCGAGGTTTCCGGCGGGGAAATGGGGTGGGTTGTGATCGGGGCTTCGAGACGAGTCGAACGGAACCGGTGCCGGCTCTTCCCGTTGCCGGAACTGAGAGAATCGAAGAGAGAGAGAGAGAGAATCGGGGAGAGAGAAACGGAGGAGAGAGAGTGTACGCGGGAGAGAGAGAGAAAGTGTGGGGGTAAAAGTGAAAAATCTGGTTTTTACTCCAAACTTATCAAAATATTTACGGTTCCGCCACCGAACATATTTTGATCGCCAAAACTTCATTACAACTCCGATTCAAGGCTACCGCCTGTCTACGGTTTCGTCTCAGTACCACCTACGCAACCAAACCACTCGTGGTCCCGAAATCCTTCCGGATAAGAAAATGACCAAAATTACCCTTAACCCAAGAGTAAATTAATAATTCTCTTAATTTAATTAAAATAGGAATAAATTTGGAGTCGGGGTGTTACATAAGGTGTCATCCTAAAACAAATTGACAATGGAGAGAACCCAAAGCTGATGATGGGCATATATGATCAAGCATTCAGATAGAGATGAGAGATTCCATGGCTATGATTATATTAATGCTTAGAAGTACAAAATAGTTAGCTTCTACATACTCATAACTTAGCTACCTGAATATTTTACTTTTCCTTTTTTCACTGGGGGAAGATCCCCAATGATGACAGGGTGACAAGATTTAAAAGGGAGCTCCAATGAATAAGCTAGTGCGCACTCAATTTTTATCTATCTGCAAATAAAATCACAAGAACGTAGCTGATAGTGGCACCACAAAAAGTGTGCTTAGGATTTCATTTTGCCGACATGATATCCCCGTAGCCTATAAAATTTAGGGCCACTTTTGAAGTGGCTAATTGGATTTCAGCAGAATAATGTAAAGTAGTGGTGCCATTGTATTATATATATTGAACACTTTCAATTAATTTTTAACACCAAAGAAGAAAAAGAAAACTTAAGTATCCCATTACTTGCAAGGGGTAACATTAATTTGGGGATAGGATGGTTCGTCTTCTTTTGCCATAATTTATTGTTTCTGGTGATTGTAATGTTTCTCAAGTCATTTTCTAAAGTATAGGAGGGGGAATTTAAGCAAGGAATGGGAACACTGCCTAGGTCAATTGACCTAATTCAAGCCGGTCTAGCTATATAATATTTTCTAATATGAAAATTTGGTAAAACTTGAATGAGCTATGAAATCATCTCTCAGCAAATAGAATCATATATAACAAATGAACCATTTTGCTTTATTTAATTCAGCATAAAATAATTAATGTACAGAAAGTTTCGTCTTAGCAAAACCCAGTAATATGATTACATTTTTACAATATTGTCCAACCTGTCCCTAACTTTTACGTGACATTTTCTTAGGTAGTTTGGTATGGCTGTTTCTTGGGTTGGTGAGAGACCTCTTCATCAGAAAGCAGGTTTGAAGCTCGACCTTCCAAGAATATTCAACACCAGCAAAAGAACTTAAAAGTGAGGCAGCAGACATGGTACTTTGTAACATGTAAGCACATTTGAATTAAACACTACTCTCTCTTCACATTAATATATCATAACTGCATGCTATTAATTATATTTATTAATTTATAGTAGTGCTTAATTTATCCCCCATCTCTAATGTGCTGAGACCGTTTAATTCGACGTCGTTGAAGCAATAATCCATGCCAAAATCATGAACACCGAAGTCCTGGCAATCCAAAAGCCATGCACAATTGTCCTCCCAAGTTTGCAACCCCATGCCATTCTCAATATTAATCTCGTTGCCTCCGTGATCTGCTACTACTTGACCATTGTTGCTCCACAATGCATCAATCAGAGGAGTTTCATCCACCCACAGGTTCTTCATCAACGACTCGTCGTTGCAAATGCTATCTAGCAGCGTTGATTCTCTCAAGAAATAAGGGATTGGCTGAATATTTTCGTTGTATTGATAAAAGTCTACAGACCTAGTTATATATACATTACAATTCCTATTTCTAAGGCTTAGAAGCCTGATCCACTTTAGGTGGGATTTGACCTAGAACAATACAGGAAAGTAAATATATTACAATATTATTTCCTAGTACAACAATATCTTGTAATACTCCCCCTCAAGTTGGAGAGTGAATATCATGAAGACCCAACTTGTCTTGTAGTGTCACAAATTGATCCTTTCCCATGGCCTTCGTAAACACATCTACCAACTGGAAGCGTGTAGGTACATATGAAGGACTAATCATTCTGGCTTGCAATTTTTCTCGAACTATGTGACAATCTATTTCAATGTGCTTTGTACGTTCATAAAAAACAGGATTTGCTGCAATATACAAAGCTGCCTGATTATCACAAAATAATGGCACAGGAACTGTCTGTAGGACCTTTAAATCCTGTAATATGTAGCGCAACCAAGTCAGCTCCAAACAAGTATTAGCCATGGCTCGATATTCAGCTTCTGCTGATGATCTAGAAACATTAGTTTGTTTCTTGGATTTCCATGAGATTAGGGCATTTCCAAGAAAAACACAATATCCTGTAACTGACCTCCTTGTGGCACGACAACCTCCCCAATCTGAATCACAAAAAGCTTTCAAGGCAAGATTGTTAGAGGCAGGAAACAACAAACCTTGACCAGGAGTACCCTTGACATATTTGAGGATCCGTAAGGCAGTATCCCAATGAGGTTTTCATGGTTGATGCATAAATTCACTCAATGTTCGAACGGAATAGGCTATGTCAGGCCTTGTGACAGTGAGATAAATCAGTCTACCAACCAGTCTTCTGTACTTAGTTGGATCATGCAGCAGTTCTCCATCTGTGGGAGTTAGTTTCAAATTCTGTTCCATTGGAAAGTTGTCTGGGCATGCCCCCAGAAGTCCTGAATCTTGAAAAATATCTAGTGCATATTTTCTTTGAGACATAAAAATACCTTTCTTGGAGCGGGAGAATTCAATGCCTAAAAAATATTTCAAATCTCCGAGATCTTTGATGCGGAAGCGTTTCAAAAGGAATGTTTTGAGGTGTTCCATTTCCTGAAGATCATTGCCTGTGAGAAGTATGTCGTCAACATAGATAAGTACAGCAGTAAATGAAGTGCCTTGAGCTTTGGTAAAAAGAGAGTAATCAGCCTTTGATTGTTGATAACCAGCTTTCTGAATGGTGTCTGAAAAGGTGGAGAACCAGTTTCTGGAAGCTTGTTTGAGTCCGTAAAGGGACTTGTTGAGCCGACATACAGTGTTCTCCCCCTGTCGGCGAAGACCAGGAGGAGGTTCCATGTAAACCACTTCATTCAAATCACCATGAAGAAAGGCATTTTGAACGTCCAGTTGATGGATGAACCAGTGGCGGGCAGCAGCAACAGTGAGTAGACAGCGGAGGGTGGTGAGTTTGGCTGTAGGAGAAAAGGTTTCTTGGTAATCAATTCCCTCAACTTGAGTGTAGCCTTTAGCAACAAGGCGAGCTTTGTAGCGCTCAATGGTGCCATCAGACCTGTATTTGATTTTGTAAACCCATTTGCAGCCGATCGGTTTATGACCAAGGGGAAGAGGAACCAAACTCCAAGTACGATTGTGCTGCAAAGCCTCTAATTCTGCAGACATGGCCTGTTGCCAATTGGGATCAAGGATAGCTTGAGCATATGATGTAGGTTCGGTGTGACCTGAGATGTTAGCAAGAAAAGCAGAATGTGCAAAAGACAAACGGGAGTAGGAAAGAAAGTGAGAAAGTGGATATCGAGTACCTGATGAAGAACAAAGCGCCGAGGTTGAGTGACCGGCTCGGTTGGACATGTGGTAATCTTTATGCCAAACAGGGGGTTGCTTAGGACGAAGTGACTGGCGTGGAAGGGGAATAGAAGGAATGGGGTTGGGGGAATGGTTATGCATGAGAGAGGATTCGGAAGTGGGTGAAAGAGATGAGGGAGGACCGGCTGGAAGGGGGGACAAGTCTGTTGGGACATGTGAGGGGGGCTGGGGAGACACAGGTTGGATTGGGCTGTCAAGATGGAGGGCTCGTCAGGCGCGGGTCCATGGGATGACGTGGTTGGAGGGGCGTCAGGTGTTGATGGCTGGGTGGGACTCAGTTGGGATGGCTCAAGTGGGGGGCCCGGCTCAACATGTGGGGTGTGTTGGGTCCAGCGATCAGTGTGATCAAGGCTAGCGTGTGGAAGGTGGGGTGGCACAAAAGTGGAAGCTGTGGGGGTGGAAATGTTAGAAAAAGGAAAAGTGTGTTCACAAAACTTGACATCACGGCTAACGAGAAATTTCTTAGTCTCTAAATTGTAAAGTTTGTAACCTTTCTGACCAGTGGGGTATCCAACAAAGACGCAACGTTGAGCGCGAGGGTCAAATTTATGAGTAGGGTGGACAACTGTGGCATAACAGAGGCAACCAAAAACTCTCAAGTGATCAAATGATGGTGGGTGATTGTATAGTAGTTCAAAAGGGGATTTGGTGGATAATAGTGGGGAGGGTAGGCGGTTAATGAGATAGACAGCGGTTAAGACACATTCACCCCAAAAGGGAGAGGCAAGTGAGATTGGAAACGCAATGCGCGAGCTACAATGAGAATATGGCGATGCTTGCGTTCAACAACTCCATTTTGTTGTGGAGTGTAAACACAAGTGCGTTGATATTCGATGCCTTGAGTTTGGAAAAAATCTCTCATGGACAGAAATTCAGAACCATTGTCTACTCGAATAGCCTTAACGGTGGCATGAAATTGAGTATGAGCAAAGGTAACAAAAGATTTGAGTATATTTTGTGTTTCAGATTTTTGTGTCATCAAAAAGAGCCATGTGCAACGAGTAAAATCATCGACAATGGTAAGAAAGAAACGGGCCCCTGAATGTGTGGGAACTTTGTGTGGACCCCAAATATCACAATGTAACAAATCAAAAGGAGCATGAGTTTTTATTGAACTTAAAGGAAACGGAAGTTTAGTTTGCTTGGCCATGGGACAAACACTACAATTGTCATCAAAGAGAGAGGACTAAAAGGCAAGAATGAAGACAGTAATTTAAGACGCGAAGGTGACGGGTGTCCAAGGCGCATGTGCCACAAATGGGAGGGATGAGAAACTTGATAAGTGACAGGTGTTTTCTGCAATGGAGACATGTAATAGAGACCACCATGCTGCTTACCCGAGCCAATCATCTTCCCCGTAGCCAAGTCCTGCAAGACACAGAAAGTGGGAAATAGAAGGACACAACAATTTAGAGAGGTAGTAATCTTGCTAGCAGACATAAGATTTAAGCGAAAAGAGGGAACACATAAGACATTATCTAAAGTGATATCTGAATTGAACGGGACTGTCCCAGTGGAAGTGATTTGGGCAGAAGACCCAGTGGGTAAATTGACAATTGGTATTTGTGAAGACTTTGTTTGTGTAAAAAGTGTGGGGTCGGACGTGATGTGATCAGTAGCTCCGCTGTCCAAAATCCAAGGTTTGGTGAATACAGAATTAATCGAGGCAACGGGAAATTGAGACAGACCTGCGGCATTAGCATAAGCATGGCTATTACCAGAAGCATTATTCGAATTTAACAGAGAGACAGCATGGGCTAGTTGTTGAAGGTGGTCTGCAGAGAGCCCATGGAGAGGGTTCGGTTGAGAGGTTGGCGGATGAGACAATTGGGCTGGTTGTGGTGCCCAATTGTTAAAACTCGGGAACTGGGCTGGTGCGACTGTGGATTGCTGCTGAGCCCCAACTTGGGTTGCGTCTGCTGCGTTGACAGCATGAAAGGATCCTCGCTGACTGCGGTTGCTCCCTTGTTTCTGTTGCTGTTGATTTCCTCTATGTCCTTGGTGGTGCCGATTGTTCTGGGGTCCTGTACTGTTGGAAACCCATGTCCCATTTTTGAATTTGCATCGATCCTCAGTGTGGCCATTCTTATCACAATATGGGCAATAAAACTTTAACGTCCGACAGTCTTCAATTGTATGGCCGTTCTTGTCACAGTGAGCACAGTGTTTGGAATTATTTGAGAAATTGTGAGAGCGGTTCTGTATCGCAGCGGCAATGGAAAAATTTTCTGTGGAACCCGAGGTCATTTGGCGCTGTGTTTCATCTTGAATGACGAGTGAGTAGGCTTGACGAACATTTGGCAATGGCGTCATCATGAGGATGTTGCTACGAACACCGTTGTAGGTGTCATTAAGGCCCATAAGAAACTGCATCATCCGATCTTCTTCTTTTTTGTTCATTATGTGCCTTCATCTGGTTACAGATAAGCGAGGTTTGATATGTCTCTAATTCATCCCAAAGATCTTTGAGTTTTGTGTAATATTCTGAAACTGTCATGGTGCCTTGTGAGAGAGAGGCGATGGACTTCTGTATCTGATATATTGTTGGTGCATTCTTTTGTGAGAATTGATCTTGGAAATCTTCCCACACTTGATGGGCGGTCTTGGCATGAACGACTGATTTGGCTAGATCAGGCTCCACCGAGTGAGCTAACCATGATAAAATCATACTGTTGCATTGATTCCAGAGAGCATATTCTGTCGGCTGTTCAGTTTTCTGAAGGAGGCTTAATGGATCCATTGACAAAGCCAATTTTGTTCTTGGCTGTGAGAGCATGAATCATGGATTTGCTCCAAGATGGGTAATTGGTGCCGTTCAATTTTATGGGAACGAGCATGAGGCCGGGGTGATCTGAATGAGAAACAAAGTACGGATGTGATGAATCCATACTGGGATTGGTGTTGCTGGTGCTTGAATGTTTGGAATTGGTTTTTGGTGATGTCTGCTCTCCACCCGTCATGATGGAGGAGTGCTATGATTTGGAAAAAAATCACGTACCAGGAGCTCTGATACCATCTCAAGAAATAAGGGATTGGCTGAATATTTTCGTTGTATTGATAAAAGTCTACAGACCTAGTTATATATACATTACAATTCCTATTTCTAAGGCTTAGAAGCCTGATCCACTTTAGGTGGGATTTGACCTAGAACAATACAGGAAAGTAAATATATTACAATATTATTTCCTAGTACAACAATATCTCGTAATAGATTCGTCTCCGGAGGAAGAGTTTTCTGGGGGTGAGCTTGATGAGTTCATGTCCTCCTATCCGGCTGAGTTGGCGACCATGCTATGATCATTTGTAGATTGATGATCTGGCAAGTTATTTTTATGATCATGGGATGATGATGATGAGTTGGTTTCCTTGCTGCACCCCAACTGATCTTCTTTGTGGAGGGGTTCATGCGTGACAGGTTCATGCGTGACAGGATAAATTATTATGAAGATGAAACAACCTTGTTCACCACCAAACACCATTAGTAAAATCGTTAACATGTACGGATCAATATGCTCCTAAACACTAACGTCATGATTAACATGTATCAATGTAAATGAATCAAGACCACAGAACTATATGAATAGATGAGGATGACCTATTTCCAAGACGAGCATGGAGATCAATAACCAACTGTTCTTCAGCTTCAGTAAGGAGGCCTCTCTTCAAGTCGGGCCGGAGATAGTTGGTCCAACGGAGTCTGCAACTCTTGCCGCACCGGCGAAGCCCGGCGAGCTTAGGCACAGCTCTCCAGCAACACTGGCCATTAGTGAGAATAAAGTTGATGAGCTTCTTGTCCTCCTCAGCTGTCCATGGCCCTTTCTATTTTGGATGTTGGCAAGTGATTTGACGCATATGATTAACTTCTGTTTTCGATGCACTTTTTATATGTTTCTCATGCTACAGCAGATTCTTTTTCATGGTTTAGAATCCGATCATTTCTCTACCAATTACATTTCGAGTTATATTATTACCTTTCATTGATATTTTTTGTTTATTCGAACTTGAGAGAGCTTTGTCACCACCAATTTGATATCTAGATATAATTCAGACAACAAAAATATCTAGATTAATAAGTCTTTGTAATGGAGCCTCAACTCGCAAATAATGCAACATAAATTCATCCGGATTTTACCATGTTCTGAAAGACACATACACACAACAATTATCCCAAGAAATATTTGTGGGTGAAAAAGAAGTTGGGCTACTCATAGAGTGCTGGATCAGATAACCTAGGAGTTGGGATAGCAACCAAAGGCATCTTCTTTTTCAGCACAATTCCAAACTTCTCTGAAAGATCCAGCTTCTGTCCTTGTGGCATTTTCCAGTCAAAAGAGTGCACAAGTGTAGCAAGTGAATGCATCACCATCCTCTCAGCCATTGCAATCCCTGCACATATTCTTCTGCCAGATCCAAATGGGAAATAGTTGAAGTCATTTCCACTATAGTCCCATTAGCTGTTCAAGAACCTTTCTGGATCAAACTCCAATGGGTTTTCCCAAATGGAAGGGTCCCTGTGTATTGCCCAGACGTTGAAGAAAATCCGGGATCCTTTCGGGATGGTGTAGCCTCCCACAGTGCAGGTTTCACTTGGGCAATGAGGGACTAGTAGTGGCAGGGCTGGGTGCAAGCGCAGAGTTTCTTTCATCACAGCTTGTAAGTAGGGTAATTTGTGAATGTGAGACTCTTCTACAATGTTGTGCTTGCCAACTACAGCTTCTAGTTCTTGCTGGGCTTTCTTCATCACCTCTGGTTTGTTCATAATCTCAGCCAATGCAAACTCAACTGTGTTGGAGGAAGTGTCCCCGCCGCCGGAAGGGCCGCCACGTACGTGTATATCTATTTATTTCAACAATATTAGATGTCTTAAGATTGGTCTAATTTTTCTTTCAAAGATGATAAGTTAATTTCCCCGAAAAAGAAAGTTAAACGAAGTCGTACCATGAGCAAAGCTTTGAGATGGGTGATGGTGAAAGGGGTCTTGGAATCTCCTCCCTCGTCTTTCAACTTCAACAAAAACGTCAAAAAATCCTTACTCTCCTTCGGGCCTTGCTTGTCAATCCTCATCCGTTGATCTATTATCTTCTCAAAAATCCCATCAAACCTCCGGGCCAGCCTGCCCATCTGCTTCTCCACGCCCTGCAAATCGAACCGGGCCAAACCCGGATAAAAGTCCGAAACATTGGGCTTCCCTAGAAGCTCCGTCATCTCCGACACCACCTCCCGGAACTCCGCCCCCAGCCCCGCCCTCTCATCGCCCTCCACCGTCCCACCCCACAGCATGTTGGTGATCACATTGAGCACGTTCAAGAACATCTGCTCGCCGACATTGACCGGCGACCCCACCCGACTGTAAAAGTACCCGACAGTTTCCCGGAGCTGCTTTCGCCGGAGTTCGTACACCGAGTCCAGAGTCGTGTTCCTGAGCATCTTGAGCACGCAGACTTTTCTCAGCATCCGCCACTCGGGCCCGTATGGGGTCCACACGATATCGTTTCCGCCGTACGTGGCGGCCCTTCCGGGGGCGGGGGACACTTCCTCCAACACAGTTGAGTTTGCATTGGCTGAGATTATGAACAAACCAGAGGTGATGAAGAAAGCCCAGCAAGAACTAGAAGCTGTAGTTGGCAAGCACAACATTGTAGAAGAGTCTCACATTCACAAATTACCCTACTTACAAGCTGTGATGAAAGAAACTCTGCGCTTGCACCCAGCCCTGCCACTACTAGTCCCTCATTGCCCAAGTGAAACCTGCACTGTGGGACGCTACACCATCCCGAAAGGATCCCGGATTTTCTTCAACGTCTGGGCAATACACAGGGACCCTTCCATTTGGGAAAACCCATTGGAGTTTGATCCAGAAAGGTTCTTGAACAGCAAATGGGACTATAGTGGAAATGACTTCAACTATTTCCCATTTGGATCTGGCAGAAGAATATGTGCAGGGATTGCAATGGCTGAGAGGATGGTGATGCATTCACTGCTACACTTGTGCACTCTTTTGACTGGAAAATGCCACAAGGACAGAAGCTGGATCTTTCAGAGAAGTTTGGAATTGTGCTGAAAAGAAGATGCCTTTGGTTGCTATCCCAACTCCTAGGTTATCTGATCCAGCACTCTATGAGTAGCCCAACTTCTTTTTCACCCACAAATATTTCTTGGGATAATTGTTGTGTGTATGTGTCTTTCAGAACATGGTAAAATCCGGATGAATTTATGTTGCATTATTTGGGAGTTGAGGCTCCATTACAAAGACTTATTAATCTAGATATTTTTTGTTGTCTGAATTATATCTAGATATCAAATTGGTGGTGACAAAGCTCTCAAGTTCGAATTCCGTTTATTTTCTAGAGAGCTTTGCTTATTTTATTTTCTTTTGGTGGGTTTGCTGTTCTCATCAAAAGATGCTTTAGGGTTAGTTTGGCACTATTGTGCTTTAAAAAAAAATTGTTTCTGCTGTGCTGCGATAATAATCAGTTGTGAAAAAAAACAACTAGGCGTTTGGTAAATTGTATTTGAAAAACTGCTCTGAGTAGTCAAAATGTTTGATAAATTTTTATCATAAGTGCTTTTAGTGTGTATAATGACCAAAAAGGACTTGAAGATGAAACTGTTTATTTTTTTTCTACTTTAAAAAACAACATAAATGTTTTTCTTTTTTTAATTTACACTTTTTTATGAAAAAATTTAATCTAAAAATATTTTTATATTAATAAAATATAAATACAAAATTAAAATTAAAAACAAACAAACCCATCACCGTACCCGCCCCATCTCTCTCTCTTTCTCCCCTATTCTCTTCTCCATCGCCTCAAAACACCGGGGAAAAAAAACTCAGATCAAGAATTTTAAAACCAAATACTCAATCCAAACCCATATCAAGAGAGGTTTGAGTTCATGGTCCTTTGCTTTATGTATCCGAGTGGGATTGTAAGATTGGATTTTATTTGGTGGGAAGCTGGGGGTTTGATTTTCTTTGGCTGGACTGACGGAGTGGGGAAGCTGGGATTTGGATCTTTTGTTGCATGGTTTGGTAGTTGGTAAAATCATTGAAGGTAAGGTTGCTTTATCGTTTATTTTATAATTTATATGTTTACAGAGTTATTCACTTCTCTGTTTTTCTCTTGCTCTCAAATCTTAGATTTTGAACTATTCTTCAAGGTTGTAGGGGCTTCTTCTTCGATTGAGTATGGATTCTTCTTTGATTTGATGGGCTTCTTCTTCTCCTCAGCCGGAGGCGCAGGTGGGCTGTCCAAATCTGGAGTGGGAGCAGATGCCGGAGACTTGTGCTTAGTGGGAGTTGCAGCTGATGGTGAAGTAGTGGGTGTTTGTTTCCTCAAATGGGTTGGCTTCAATTTTGTCTGGTTGAATCTTTATGAAGCAGAGCAAGTTGGTGCATTTGCTCTGAAGCTGATGAAAAGGTTGAGGCTTTCTTGTTAATTCAGTTTGAAATTTGAATTAGTACAAGAAGAAGACGAAGTAGTAGTGGTAGTATGAGAAGCTTGAATTATGCTCAGGGTCCACTGGACGATGGAGAAGAACTGAAGACCCATGAGAAGTTTTGTGAACCAAGTCTGGTTCTTGAATTTGTGAAGTGGCTTATCTGGGAAAACAAAAGAAAATCCCACCAAGCCTCTGCTTGAGTTTTTGCAAGGTGGTCTGTTCTGGTGTTGATTAGAAGAACTCAGCTGGTATTTAGGAGATATTTGTGCTGATAGTCTCTTGGCTTCCAGTGGATTTGCAATCATGTCTTCCAGGATTCCACTTCCACAGCACTTTCATCAGGATGTTCTCATTATTTCCAACTGTGTGGGCTCCACTCAAGACCTCTTATATTTGATCTCTTTATTAATTTTGGTCAGATAACTTATTGGTCTCTCGTCGTCACTACCTACCTACCTGTCAACTTTCCACTCAAACCCGATCAAACTTCTCCCCTTCCCTCAACTCAAATCCCATTGCTGATCACAAAACGCACAACATGGCATCCGATTCTTATTACAGCACCTTCTTCTCATGGCAGTTTCAAGCCCTTTACACAAATATTGACCAAACATGGCTGGCCTTTGCCGTCTCCGCTGTCGCCGTCGCCTTTGAAGAGAACGACAATCAAGCCAAGAATCCCACTATCTCAAGTCAACCTCCAATCACAACGTGATTGGTACAATTTATGTACAAATCCCTGTAATCATGTATTTTCCTCTTTTGTTATAGTTGACCACCGCTAGAATCCTGTATATATGGTGTATCTCAATATGAATCAAATCATCGAGTGATTCAACCCAAACTTCTCTCTTGTCTATTTTTCTACATGGTATCAGAGCTTTACAGGGGCTAACGCTCAAAACTCGATCCAACAGTTCCTATGGCCATCGACGAAGGCTCGCCTATCCCTTCTTCTGTCAATTCTCAAACCTCTTCCCAAATTTCTCAAACCTCTCAAAATTCTATCCTTTCCATGTCAGCCGCAATTCCAACCTCCTTCAATATCTCCCACATATTCAATACACCTATGGATCGTAACAATTTCCTCTCTTGGAGATCGCAATTTCTTGATGTCCTGGAAATCCATGACTTGGAGGATGTCGTGAAGAATGAAAATCGCCCTGCTAAAAGGCTTGAGGATGGCTCAATCAACCCCACCTATGCCAAGGACAAATTAGTTCTCAGCTGGATAAAAGCTACCGCATCTCCCTCTATCAAAACCCTCCTAATCTCTTGCACTTCAGCATACGAAGCTTGGACCCTCCTTGAAAAGAGACTCTCACCACTGTCCAAAACTCACTTACGCACACTCCGTGATCAAATTCGTAGCCTAAAGAAAGAACCAGAAAAAGCAATGACAGAATATCTCCTGGATGCCAAATCTCTTTATGATCAACTTGCTATTGCCGGGTCGATGATGACAGAAGGAGAACTCATCGAATTTATTCTCGATGGCTTGGGGCACGAATACAAGGAGTTTACAACTTCATTGCATCTCCGTTCGTCCTTCACTTTCGACGAGTTCTATGATCTCCTCATCCAAGAAGAACACCTGATCAAAAGGATGTCATCTCTCTCTATTTCTACAGGAACAGCTCTTGTCGCTGATCGGACCTCAAATAATCAGCAGAACCACTCAAATCCTCGACCTTACACCGACAACAACAACAGGCACAACCGTGGAAAGGGACGTGGTCGTGGTCGCGACTGGAACTCAGGTCGTGACAATAGTTATCGCAACGGCGACCGTAATTGGACCTCTAGTAATCGGCAAGGCAAGTGGGCTCAGTCTTCTAATAATAATCATCGTGGGTTTTCAGAACATCCATCCTCAGATAATCGGCCTCCCCTCCTTCCAACGCCGTCTCCTCAACAGCACCACCAATTCTTAGTTATTTGTCAACAATGTAACAAACCTGGGCACACGTCTCGGGTTTGTCCCGAACGCGGAAATTTTGCTTACGTTGCTGAAGCCAATGAAAGCACCTCCTCCGTGTCTGGACCAGTCAGCAAAAATTGGGTTGTCGATTTAGGAGCAACCCATCATATGACATCGGATCCTTCCTTGCTTTCCCATGTCCAACCATACACAGGTAACGACTCAATTATCGTAGGAAATGGTAACCAGTTGCCTATCTCCCATATTGGTAAAACCACTTTATCATGTTCCCATGGCTCTCTAGTGCTGCATGATGTCTTGTATGTTCCTGCCATCACAAAGAATCTTTTATCTATAAGACGTTTTTCACGTGACAATAACTGTTACTTTGAGATGGATTATAATGGTTTTCGTGTGAAGGACAACAAGACGGGGAAAATTTTACTTATTGGGAGTAGCCATGGAGATCTCTACTACATCCGTGCAGACCCGCAAGTTAGGAGCAAGCTCGTGTTCTATGGAGAAAGAACAACCCAGGACGTGTGGCACACCCGACTTGGACATCCCTCCTCTGATATTCTGCGAGTGTTGGTGAATAAATACCACTTACCCATTAGTGGTACTATGGCCTTTAATAAAAGTTGTCATATTTGTCCACTAGGCAAGGCCTGTAGACTCCCTTTTTCTTACCGTACTTCTAATACACAAAATCCTCTTGAGTTGTTGCATCTTGATATATGGGGACCATCTCCTATGTTATCAAACTATGGCTATAAATTCTATTTGTCAATTGTGGATGATTATTCTCGCTTTGTGTGGTTATTTCCATTGGCAAGAAAATCAGATGTGATGTCTACCTTCATTACTTTCAAAAAGATGGCAGAAAATCGATTTACCAAGACAATTAAAATGTTGCAAACTGATGGTGGTGGTGAGTTTACTAGCCGTGTTTTTGTCAACTTTCTTCGTGATAACGGTATATCCCAACAGGTGTCATGTCCCTACACGCCACAACAAAATGGCACCGTCGAAAGGAAGCATCGACATATAGTTGAGATGGGACTTTGCTTACTTGCTCAATCACACTTGCCATCTAATTTTTGGGTTGAGGCATTCACTACAGCAGTGTTTCTCATAAACCGTTTGCCCATGACTCACCTTGGTAATATATCCCCATATGAAAAATTATTTCACCAATCCCCAGATTACAGGTTTCTTAAAGCATTTGGCTGCACATGCTTTCCTCACATGGTACCATATAATAAGCACAAGCTCATGCCTAAATCCATAAAGTGCATATTCATTGGTTATGACAACAAATACAAGGGATATCGATGCTTAGATGTGGCCTCAGGTAAAATCTATATTTCTCGTAATGTTCAATTTGATGAACTTACTTTCCCTTATCAGGAGCTTAAATCAAAGGTGTCACCAAGTGGGCAGTCACTGCAATCCATTCCATTGGAGTTCTCTATCCTTTCACAGCAAAGAAATATTCCAGACAAGCCATCTCCTTTAAATGATGTAACTCCAGCAGCTGATTTTGGCACTCCAAGTGTACACACCAGCAACCTTAGAGAGCCCATTCAGCAAGAGCGTGATCAAGCACCTCTCTTGCCAATGCCAGCCCACACAGATGGCCCAATTGATTCAATTCAGCCCAGTGACAGTGTCTCTCATATTCCTGATCCTCTCAGCAGTCCTCTTATTTCACGTGCCAACAGTCCTGATGCCACTCCAATATCTCCATCTACCCCCCAATCTTCACCAATGCCACCCAAATTTAGGAGCCTTGATGAACTCAACAGACTTATCCACGGTCCACCTTCGCATCCACTTCCGCAAGGATTAACAGCAAGTCTTAAAGATCCTTTATCACTGGAACCTTCCAGCTACACTCAGGCCTCCAAGTTTCCTCATTGGCAAGAAGCCATGACAGAAGAATATGATGCCCTTATGCGTAATCAGACTTGGTCCCTAGTTCCTATCTCCCCAAATATGAATATTGTGGGATGTAAGTGGGTCTTTCGCGTCAAACGTAAGGCCGATGGCACCATTGAGAGACATAAAGCCCGTCTTGTGGCCAAGGGATATAATCAAAAGGAAGGATTTGACTACTACGAGACCTTTAGTCCTGTTGTTAAACCTGCCACTATACGCACTATTTTGGCCTTGGCGGTTTCACAAAATTGGATCTTACAGCAACTTGACGTACGCAATGCTTTCCTCAATGGTATTTTACAAGAAGAAGTCTACATGGTGCAACCCCCTGGCTTTGTCGATCCTCTTCACCCTAAGCACGTATGCCGACTTCACAAGGCACTTTATGGACTCAAGCAAGCCCCCCGAGCTTGGTTTCAGCGCCTTACTTCCTTTTTACTTGGTCAAGGCTTCCTTCATAGCAAGTCTGATGCATCTTTATTCATCCATCACTCCTCCACTTTTTCCATTTATGTGCTAGTATATGTTGATGATCTTATTGTCACAGGCCAAAATGCTTCTGTCATCAACACATTCATTGACAAATTATGCTCCACATTTGCAAGTCGAAAATTGGGTGCTCTCCATTTCTTCCTTGGCATGGAAGTCACTCGATGTGCCAATCAGTTGTCCTTGTCTCAAGCCAGATATGCTTCAGATTTATTAAAGAAGTTTAAAATGGACCTCTGCAAACCTTGCCCTACACCTTTGCTTTCCTCTCAACGACTCTCTGCTCATGATGGTGATTCCCTTTCAGACCCTGAAACCTATCGTAGCATGGTTGGAGGACTTCAATATCTCACTTTATCTCGCCCAGACATTGCATATGCCGTCAACCAAGTCTGTCAATACATGCACAATCCCAAGACTACTCATCTACAAGCCGTCAAACGCATTTATCGTTACATAAAAGGGACTATTGAACATGGCCTTATTTATCGCTCTTCCCCTGATTACACATTACGCGCCTTCTCTGATGCAGATTGGGCCGGCTCTCTTGACGACCGTCGTTCAACTAGTGGGGCATGCATCTTTCTTGGTCCCAACATTCTCACCTGGACCGCCAAAAAGCAATCCACCGTTTCTAGGTCCAGCTCAGAAGCCGAGTATAGAGCCCTTGCTACAACAGTTGCTGAACTTCAATGGTTTCGTTATCTTTTCCGTGAACTTGGGGTTCCGCTTCGCACTCCACCATGCGTCTTTGTCGACAATATTTCTGCCCTTCACATGGCCGCAAATCCCGTCTTCCATGCTCGCACGCGTCATATTGAAATTGATTATCATTTTGTTCGTGAACTACTGGCACGTGGAGTTCTTCGCACACGCCATGTCTCTTCCCAACATCAATTAGCCGACATTTTTACCAAAAGTCTCTCCAGAGAACGGTTCTCCTTCCTTTCTGGCAAGCTCAATCTCCACTTGGTTCCGTTTCGCTTGAGGGGGGGGTGAAGAGAACGACAATCAAGCCAAGAATCCCACTATCTCAAGTCAACCTCCAATCACAACGTGATTGGTACAATTTATGTACAAATCCCTGTAATCATGTATTTTCCTCTTTTGTTATAGTTGACCACCGCTAGAATCCTGTATATATGGTGTATCTCAATATGAATCAAATCATCGAGTGATTCAACCCAAACTTCTCTCTTGTCTATTTTCTACAGCCTTTTGGTACGCATGGCTTTACAAAAAGTCCAAGAACGCAACACCGCCGCTGCCGCCTGGTCCGATAGGACTGCCGTTGGTCGGGAACCTGTTATCTCTCGACCCGGAACTCCACTCCTTCTTCGCGGGGCTGGCCCAATCCCACGGCCCAATCTTCAAGCTCCGCCTCGGCAACACCCTCGCTGTCGTCGTCACCTCCCCTTCCTTAGCCCGCGAGATCCTCAAAGACCATGACGTCACCTTCGCCAACCGTGACGTCCTCGCCGCCGCTAGGGCCTCCACCTACGGAGGAAATGATATCGCGTGGTCCCCGTACGGACCCCAGTGGCAATGCTGAGAAAAGTCTGCATGCTCAAGATGCTCAGCAACACCACTCTGGACTCAGTGTACGAACTCCGAAGAACGCAGCTCCGGGAAACTGTCGGGTCGGGTCGGCGGTAAACGTCGGTGAGCAGATGTTCTTGAATGTGCTCAATGTTATCACCAACACGTTGTGGGGTGGGACGGTGGAAGGGGACGAGAGGGCTGGACTTGGAGCCGAGTTTCGGGAAGTTGTATCGGAGATGACAGAGCTTATGGGGAAGCCCAATGTTTCGGACTTTTACCCGGGTTTGGCCCGGTTCGATTTGCAAGGCGTGGAGAAGCGGATGGCGGGGTTGGCTCGGAGGTTTGATGGGATATTTGAGAAGGTAATTGATCAACGGCTGCGGATGGAGAAAGAAAGCGCGAAAAGAGCATTGATGTTTTGACGTTTTTGTTGAAGTTGAAAGACGAGGGAGGAGATTCGAAGACGCCTTTCACTATGACCCATCTCAAAGCTTTGCTTATGGTAAGTATATATGTATGACTCGTTTTAAACTTCACTTGAACACTTTGGTTTTTTTCTTTCTTTTTTTGTATATCATTTATGAAAAAAGTAGACAAATCATAAACCATTAATACATCTAAATGGTGATGAACTAAATAAAAAAACACGCAGTTGTCAATGTGGGACATGAAAGCTCAAGCAAATTATTATTATTTTTTTCTTGTTTCAAGTTAAACAACTAAGTCCATTACCATGATGCTTTGTAATCTAACTGTGGGCAGGATATGGTGGTGGGTGGCAGTGATTCTTCCTCCAACACAACTGAGTTTGCATTGGCTGAAATTATGCACAAACCAGAGGTGATGAAAAAAGCCCAGCAAGAACTAGAAGCTGTAGTTGGCAAACACAACATTGTAGAAGAGTCTCATATTCATAAACTACCCTACTTACAAGCTGTGATGAAAGAAACTCTGCGCTTGCACCCAGTCCTGCCACTACTAGTCCCTCATTGCCCAAGTGAAACCTGCACTGTGGGAGGCTACACCATCCCGAAAGGATCCCGGATTTTCTTCAACGTCTGGGCAATACACAGGGATCCTTCTATTTGGGAAAACCCGTTGGAGTTTGATCCAGAAAGGTTCTTGAACAGCGAATGGGACTATAGTGGAAATGATTTCAACTATTTCCCATTTGGGGTCTGGCAGGAGGATATGTGCAGGGATTGCAATGGCTGAGAGGATGGTGATGCATTCACTTGCTACACTTGTGCACTCTTTGACTGGACATTGCCACAAGGACAGAAGTTGGATCTTTCAGAGAAGTTTGGGTATTGTGCTGAAAAAGAAGATGCCTTTGGTTGCTATCCCAACTCCTAGGTTATCTGATCCTGCACTCTATGAGTAGCCAACTTCATTTAGGACCGCAAGGATTTATTGGGATATGTGTTGTGTATCTTTCTGAAGATGAATTCTATGATGCATTGTTTGGGAGCTGAGAGGCCCCATTAGAGCATTGGGAGCAAAGGGCCCAAGAATTCTATGATGCATTGTTGGGAGCTGAGAGGCCCATTAGAGCATTGGGAGCAAAGGGCCCAAGGGGAGGGTTGGGGGGGGTGGGGGGGTTGGGAAACCCAAAATGTGGTTTCCAGCAACAAGAAGCTGCCAGGGCAAGCAATGGGGCCCACATACCTGGGCTGGCTTGAGCTCTAGCTCGCGGGCTGTGTTGACGTCACGATGACGTCAGCACTGGAGTTTAAATTTTTTTAACACGCGCCAACTTAAAAAAATTTGACGCGCTGCTATAGTGACAGCCCAATGGCTCTCTTCCACGTGTCTTCTGCTGAGCCATCCGATCAGCTTTTTAAAACATACTCAACGGCAACCATTTTTCGCGAATAAAAAATCGAAAAAAGCAACCCCCAACGGCTCTATGCCACATGGAAGCTCCTGGGCTCTCCGATAATTTTTTTCCAGCAATCCAGCGGCAGACAATTTTTTGCCCAATAAAAATGAAAAAAAATTGGAAAAAATTTAAAAAAATACGAAAAAATACTGATTTTTTTTTCTATAAATACCAACCAATACTCTTCACTTTTAACACCAACTCCTCATCCAAATTAATTGTTTAAGTAAACAAAGTTGTGAAAAAACAAAAAATGAATAGTATTTGCCATGACAAGCCTTGCACTGCTGGAAACACAAATTTTTTTTTGTGCTAGGGCAGCCACTATTCACGTGAATAGAAGCCGCCCTAGGGCTCCCCTTGCCATGGCAAGGGGCTAATTGGTGGAAGTGCTCTTACAGACTAAGACTGTGTCGTCTTTGGAGTCCAAAAAGAATCAAGACTCTTCCTCCGCCCTAAACCAAAGACTTTTCTTTCATAGCCAGCATATTTTTAGAAAATGGACAAAAGCTATTTCGTACTTGTGATTATTTTTCATCTTTCCTAGAAATTCCTTATCTCAACTACAACCATTTATACAAAATGCCTTTGGTTTTTTGCTTCAAATTCCTTGAATTTTCTTCTGGATATTTTGTTCGGTGGGTCAAGGTTGACATTTTTCTGGCAAAATATATAGCACTTATCTAAAAAATTATCTATTATTTTATCTGGTGGAGTAAAACAAAAAAAAAAAAAAAAAAAAGTGTTTGGTAACCTTTCATTTACAATAAGGCCAATTAAAATGTTGAAGCTAATGTGGTCACCATGGTGGGATGTTGATGAAGCAAAATTTGTGACCCCTTTAGCCCTACTGTTTACTCTCTTCTGGTACCTGTTGACTTGGAAAAAGTCAAGGAAACCAACAACTCCATTGCCACCAGGCCCTCGTGGCCTGCCCCTGCTAGGGTACCTTCCCTCTTTAGGTACCGACCTTCACTACGACTTCACAAACTTGGCAAAAATCTACGGCCCTATTTACAAACTCAAGCTAGGTAGCAAACTATGCTTTGTGATCTCATCACCAACTCTTGTGAAACAAAGTGCTTCGTGACCACGAAATTATATTTTCCAATCGCGACGCCACCGTTGCTGCACAGATTGCCTCATACGGTGGGACCGACATCGCGTTTGCACCATATGGACCGGATTGGAGGAAGTTGCGCAAGGTAGTCATGAACCACACGCTCAGTAATGCCAACGTTGATGCTTGCTATGCTTTGAGGAAAGAAGAGGTGGACAGGTCTATCAGCCATATTTATGGAAAAGTTGGCACCCCAATTGATTTTGGGGAGGTAGCATTTTTACCAGCATCAACACACTCAAGCGCTTGGTATGGAGCGGAACGCTGCAGGAAGAGAAGGGAGCAACTGGTGTTGGGGTTGAGTTGAGGAAGGTGGTGACAGAAATCATAGGGTTGCTTGTTAAACCAAACGTTTCAGACTTTTTCCTATGCTTGCCAGGTTTGATATACAAGGGATTAGGAGGCGACAACAGAAGGCTATTTCTGTCACTGAAAAGATCATCAGTTCTGCCATTGAAATCCAGATGAGTATGCCTCCATCCAAAAATGAGGGGCTACAGAAAAAACATGGAAGGAAGGATAGTGCATAATAAGGACAGTGCAACACTCACAATGCAAGAAATCAAGGCCTTGCTCACGGTACCTACAATATTCGTTCTTTTTTCGTTTTGTTGGGAAGACATAATCTCATTTATGCTTTCAGGTTCTTTAGTTGTTTATTTGAGGAAAACTGTAGGGTCACAAAACAACAATCCGAATCATTCATTCAATTCCTTGCAAGAAATAGTAAAATTGGGAAAACCATTACAACATTGAATTTGTTTGTGATCAACAAAATAGTTGATTCCAATGGTTCAAGGAAACACTAAAACTACAACTATCAATTGAGTGGTCAAATGATATCAAATTCAAGAGATTTTTTGCAGGAATAATCTTTGAAGGAATAGCTAAAAACTAGATGGATCGGATTATAAAATATAATATAGATGAGCCCCACAAAGGGTGTCCCTCAAATAGGAATCTCTCCGTTGAAACTCTGTGTATATACAAATACCAAATATGTGATCAAAATTTCAAGTATATTGGACCTTTTTTTTTTTTTCTTCATATATTCACTTTCAGACAAATGTGGTTATTAGAATAAATGTTTTGACATTCATGAATCATTTTTTTTTTTTTTTTTTTTTTTTTTTTTTTTTTTTTTTTTTTTTTTTTTTTTTTTTTTTTTTTTTTTTTTTTTTTTTTTTTTTTTTTTTTTTTTTTTTTTTTTTTTTTTTTTTTTTTTTTTTTTTTTTTTTTTTTTTTTTTTTTTTTTTTTTTTTTTTTTTTTTTTTTTTTTTTTTTTTTTTTTTTTTTTTTTTTTTTTTTTTTTTTTTTTTTTTTTTTTTTTTTTTTTTTTTTTTTTTTTTTTTTTTTTTTTTTTTTTTTTTTTTTTTTTTTTTTTTTTTTTTTTTTTTTTTTTTTTTTTTTTTTTTTTTTTTTTTTTTTTTTTTTTTTTTTTTTTTTTTTTTTTTTTTTTTTTTTTTTTTTTTTTTTTTTTTTTTTTTTTTTTTTTAAAAGGTCCAAGGGGCGCAGCGGGAGACAACTAAAAACACTTCTACTCGGTGAGGGACTTATACTTCTCCTGGGGCTATCTACTCCAACTGGATGGCCAATGGCTGGAAATGGGTAGGAGGGAACTGCAACTCAAACCCCAGTAAGGCGGCTATGGCTGCATGAAATATAGGCTAGAAAAAAATAAGAAGTCCTCTTGAGCCACCCACCCTTAGCTTGTTTGGTTTGGACCCTTACGTTCGGTACACTCGTTAGGAAGCGAAGGGCTATAAAAAGGACTGCTTTCCAACTCACTAGCTTTAAAGTAAGGCTCTCCTAATGGCTCGTATTCCCCTCTTCCCTCGGCTGGAACTACCACTCAAACTAGATCGCTGACAGAAGGAAGGTAACTATAAGGGCTTAAAACTGGCCTGGTAAGAGACTCCACTCCAATGAGAACTCAAACTGGATCGAATGCAGGGGTTTCCTATTGCAGACTTTGACTAGATGACTCCAACGGGCTTAAAAAAACACTAAAAATGGAGGGGATTATCTTAGCACTGCTTATGAATAGGCAACTACTGGAACTGGACATTAAAGGAAGGGAATCGTGTACTGAGCTAGCCTGCCTTGAACTTGAAGTAGGTAGTCTCTCCTATATCTGATAGCTTTAACTGGCCACTACAAAGAAATTGCCATAGATCGAAACTTATTCCAGGCTTAGTATCCCCCCTATAAAAGAAGACGAGTCATAAAGGCAAATATCTAACAATTTCAGGGGGGCACATCCAAACTGAATAGTACTCGCAGGTTCTCTTTTCCATATGTTCTTCCCGATGCCCTATCCGACAGCCGTTAACCGCCTTGCAGGGAATTCCTTACTCAAAAGTATGAGAGTGCGGCATAGCAAGAGCTTCCTACCTCCTTCTAACGCTTATCTCTTTTCTTGCTTCCTTGCTTTAATCCAATAGGCCGAATTCCTTGCTTGCATCCCTTTGATTGCTTAGTATCTCCTCCTTGCCGCACTCTTCTGGTACAAAGCAAAGGACTGGACTGCAAATTTTTTATATAAAGAAGAGTTCTGTCTTTCTTCATTCAAGTAAGATAGTTTATCGAGAAACCTCCGCCCAAAGGTGCTTTTTTGAAAGCCGGTCACCGGTGGCTAAGAACCTTTCCTCACTCTAGAAGCCTTCAACAAAGGCCACTTGATTTTCTTGTTCGTAAGGGGCGTTGTATATCTATATTGGACTTTCGATTTTGCGTTGTTTTTTTTTTCACGAGGTTTTGTATATAATCCAATGTTCAGTGAGATGACTTTCCTACTGACCGAATCGCTTGAGTTAGTTGAAGGAAACGAGGCTTCCGGCCCGGCTGGTCCCACTACTGGCGAGGAGAGTTTTGACTGCGAGAGGCGCGTCTGATGGTATCGTATATAAGATCACGGCTGCATTTAGGAGTGATCTTTCCCTCTTCAACAAGCCGGCGGTGATCTCACTTTCGAAAGAGAGTCTCGACGTGGCGGTATACACGTAGCTCCATAGCGGGGCTAGTCATTGGCTACTGGTTTCTTTCCTACCGGACCGGAGGCGGCCGAGAATGTTATGTCAAAAGGACCGACGACGATGGGAGAAGGAGTAGGAGCGGTATGCTCAAAATAGAATGAGAATGATTACGAGATAGAACGGATCTCCTTGAATTCATTCATCACGTTTTTAACGTGGATAACGAGGCGCTGCCGCAGGCGGCAGATCCACAACATACTGCAACTCACGAGGCGCTGCCGCAGGCGCCAGCACCGGCGGAAGTTGCCCACACCCCGCTCCCGATCAAAAACGAGCGTGCGGCACTTCTAAGGGACATTCACACTTTGATTCGGGAGCAACTTCGCGAATATTGTGCAAGGGGGAAAGGGGGGCTCGCGCACTCGCCGGAAATGCTGGAACTATACTCCAGTAGCGCGAAGGCAATAATGTCTTACGATCTGGATATCCCCGCGGAGACAGATACGGAAACCCCCCCGCAGATGGGTGGGAGAATATAAGGGGGGACCCTAATCTCCTAAAGCCACTCATTAGGGAATACCGGTCAAATTAGTCTGTCTGCCGCTTTCTTTCATAACAGAGCCGTTATTCCCGGCTGGCATAGAAGTCTCTCGTGCGGGCGAAGGAGATGCATTTCTGGTACTGGTGGTACTGGACAAGCTCTCAGGGAATAATCTCTTTCTTATTTCTGCCTTTCTTTCCCATGACGACTAGGAACGGGCAAATCAAAATTTCACTTTGAATTCCGGACCTCAACATCCTGCTGCTCATGGTGTTTCACGATCAGTATTGGAAATGAACGGAGAAGTGGTGGAACGTGCGGAACCACATATTGGATCACTCCAGTGCGGCACGAAGCCGCTGACGCCGAGTCGGCTCCTATGCCGCTAGCTATGCCCTGCTTGGTCCCCCGGCACGGTGGAGATTCCGTAGCGCGTCATGAGCACCGGGCTAAGGGGCGGTTGAGCAACTCAAGCGAACCGCCCTACCTTACTACAACATAGGGACAGAAGGGAGAAGGTTGTGAAGGTGGCCTCGTTATCCACACCCTCCGGTCGGATGAATGGAGGACCGACCGACCCGGGTTTTCACGAGCGTTGGCGGGTCCTGGAGTGCCTGTCAAGGGCGCTAGCGCATACCCCGGGGTGATCATCACCACCTGCACCTCACATCTCGGCGCAGTGGAACGTGTAACCCGCCTGCTGTCTCATTCAACTACATTTGTTCCTGTAATCCATAGCCTAACAGAACGCAGCAGCGAGGGACAACCCGCCCATACAGCCAGCGGGGAGGATGGCACTACTGGCAAAGACCGTCTGGTGAAAACGCCGCAGGCGCGAGGCGTGGTAGGCCTGCGCCGGGGGAGCATAGCATAGGGAGGAAAGGGAGCCGGGACGGTGGAAGAGCCAGGGGAGGCCGGGTCATTTGACGGAAATGGAAGGCTTTTCCCCTATTAGAGAAGGCCCTATGAAGTAAAGGGAAGTGCATGAATTCTTGGAAAAAGAGGGAGCGAGCCTATATAAAAAATGTAAAAAAGTAAATTCAATGAATAGATAGAGTCAACGGTACGACAGACAGCGCTGCCTACACGCGAATTAACTTCCGAGGTCGGGCAGTCTCAATTTCACTACAGGATTTGCGAATGAATGCTGGGCTGGGCCACCTCGAATGGCGTGAGCCGCATGCGGGGAGACCCGCACGTACGTTTTTTAGGGGGATATCTGGTCGAAAGACCGGCCGGCGCCCACCCGACTAGAGGGACTGAGAAATTAATAGAGTACAAAACTTATCTTCAAGCTTTACCTTATTCTGATCGTTCAGAGGGCGATCGCGGAGTCACTGAATGAAGTCCTCCGTTTCTTTCGGAGGTGCTGACCCGCAGCGAGGCAGAGATGACTAAGTGACATATGGAATATGGCGACGACAACAGCATGTCGTAGAAGGAGATAACAGGTG